AGGATGAAAAGAAGTAGATGCGATCAAGATTAACATTGTAGCAAATAATCAATCTAACCAAGATGAAAGCAATCCAATGAAAATGATTCAAATAAGTAAATAACATATTTTGTACATTTTTTCACATTTTTCACTTACACCATTAAAACTCTATTTCATATTAAAACTATAAGAACTAGTTAACATTTGAGAAAAAGAAAAGTGAAAATACTTACATCCACATGAGATTTGAGATATATGTGTTTACTACATTATTACATACTAGGTCGAAATCCGCGCTACGCTGCGGGATGCTTTTTTGAAGTGTTTTTTATTTTTTGAATATAGATATGATTTATAATAACTAAATCCAATTGTTTGTAATCGAAATTACACCAAACATAGTGAATATATTTACATGACTTATCATTTAAGGATGTAATTCGTAAACTCACTTGTCAAAAAAATTAATATTTCAATGGGATAGTTATCTTATGATGCAAACTACCAATGATAAAAAGATAAAGATAGCAAATTTTGTAACTAAATTGATAGAGAGAACTTACTCTAACAAAACCATTTAAATATGTAAAGCATATACTTCATATCGATTGGATGTTAATTTATTTACTTTACTTTAATTGTTACCAAGGTGAATATGTTTCAATCATCGTTAAGTTACTTTTTCTAGCTAATCTCAAATTATATCAATTATGCAACACTGGAATTGTTCTAGTCTAGGTTAAGTAGAGGATTATAAAATCTTGTTTACCTCCCAAGATGTAAAAGATTATAAAAGAATAGAGTCTTGGAATCCCAGCTTTAACATCTCTAGGTATTTAATATGTTTGACTTTACTGGGACTGGTCTAATTGTTGTTTCTACGCACTTCAATATTTCTTTCATCTCCAAGAGGTTTATCTTCTTCCTTTATTTTCTACTCTCTAAAATGAGAATAAAATATCTCAAGAATTGATGCAGCTAATAAATCCAGAAGTGAGGAATTTTACTATTTATTTATACATAAAAAGTGTAGGACCAAACAACCAAATCATCATGAATATAAAATTTATGACTACTTCAAAATATACACCATTTATGAAAATATTAGCTTAAGTCTTACAATACATATAGAACATAACTTTAAACTATGATATTCTTGAATCACTAAGATACACGTTGCCATATTTTTCTTGCCTCTTCAAAAGCCAGACCGAAATATCAGAAAAAAAGATGCAAAATATTAAGCTACAATAAGGAAGAACCTAATCATATAAGCATGCCTTTGTAAGAAACCATCCCATCATCGTCATTTTTCCTGTGAAAACTTAACTAATTACTTCAATCCTCTCTGATTCAACACTGTCTCAGCATGAGATTAAAAGATCCAGAATCTGGAAGCGAAGATGGAGAAGCTCGTAATTAACAAAAGCTTCTATTGAAGCTCGTAATTAACTCAAGTTTCTCTTGAATTTAATTAGAGATTTCATAGAAATTAGAAGCGGAGATGGAGAATCTCGTAAAGCTTTCATCAATGAAGATTTGGAAGCAACGATTCTTTTATTATGGATAAATGCAAGTCATCAAAGAAGAATGCTTAACAAATTTGACAAAAAAAAAGCATAACAAATAAAATTATGTCTAATAAAATTTTTGGTCGGTTCGTAAACTTACGGCAATTTTCTTGCTTTCAAAAATTTATAAGTCGGTTTAGATTGTGACTTTATTAAACCGACGTGCCCCAACGTTTTTCTTGTGTATAGATATTCGGTTTCTTTTAAATTAGATTTCTATTATCTACTAAAATTCAGTTGTAATGGGTCAAATCCTTTAATTCTTATTTGGGCTGGCCTGTATGGCTGTATCTATATCTTTTAAAATTTAAATAGCAAGCTTTTTAATAATAAAGAAAAAGTAAGAGAAATTATGATGTGGAACCGAAGAGAATTATTATTGGCTGAGAAATTTGAGCTTTATTAAACGAAATGTTTTTATTGGATGATGATTTTAATGATGTGTCAAGCTGAGAGAAGAGCTTAAAAAGTTGAGGTGTCAACGCAGGATAGAAACCTATTGTTATTATTGTATTGATCTGCTCAATTGTAGAGCAAATTTGGTTGGCAAGTGAATTTCACATGAGAACTCATTAATTTCAAATATTTATTTGAGTATGTGACATTATCTATTACTGGAGAAGATAATAGATAACGTGAAGATCACTGCCATGAGTGCGCTTGCGAGTTTGGGTGGACTGATTTATTGGGACGGTGTTTAACAACATCGTCACTTATATATCTACGGTAAGTAAAAAATATAAAACTAAAACTTGAATTTACTAGCTTGTTTTAATTTGATTTTATTTGTCTATGCAAACGGAAGATGCAGATTTCCAGTCTACTTTGCTTAAAGCAGCAGCATTTGTGTCCTGGATTTTGTTTGGAGGTCTTGTTCCGCTCTGCGTTGGAGGATTCATCCACTCTTGGCGTACAAAATCATTATCACTGCACTTGTGACTTTGTTATTGATGATCATGTTTGCCATTTGCCAGCATATGGGCAACGATTTTCAATATCCTGAACTGGAACTGGTCTTTCGCCTTTAGAGCAGTTCCGGCTCAACATATATTTGGACCCTTGGGCAAAAAAATGTTTTTGGATTTTGTCTTACTTAATTTTTTTTGAGATTTTTTCAAATTTTCGTTTAAAATTAGGACTATTTTTGCCCTATATATGTATATATTTTTTTTTAAAATATACATGTCTTTTTATGTAAAAGAATATAATTTTAAAAATTTTGGGCCCATTTATTAGAAATTTCATGTTAGTTTACAATTTTTTAAGAAAAATATGGACCCTTTTTCATTTAATTTTTTTACAAAAATTCATGGTTCCATAGGCCACTGCCCCTCAGCCCACACCATTTGGGCCGGATCTGCTTTAGAGAAGAGTAAAAGTGGTGATTTCAAATCCGTCTTTCTACATTTTTCTTTTTACTGTCTTACTAACTAATGGGTCAAAACTTTTTTTATCTTGTAGCCTATTAATTTTTATAACTGGCTTTGCGTCTAAATTTCAAACAAGCTCAAATTCTTCATTTTTACCAACATAATTGATATGATTATTAAATTTGTAGCTTTAGATTTTGTTTCCTAAATCCCTTATCCATATTGGTTATTTAAAATTCCATATTTGTTTTTATTTTGATTGCAAAAAGTAAATTATTATATTTTTAACGCACTAAAACTCCGATATAAAAAGAAAAGAACGCAGTAAACTTACTAAGGGTTTTTTACAATAGCAAGATAAACATATCCGTGAGCAAGATAAGAGACTGAGCTTTCATGAGTAATCACAAAAGAGTTTAGAGAACTTCATACAGTGGCGGAGCCAGAAAAATTGTTTATAGGGGTCAAATTTTTTTTTGGATATACAAAATTATATCAACTTTATTAGAAAAAAATAAAAATATCATCACAACTATACTATATATTGTAATCGATTTATTATTGTCTCGTTTGCCACAATTTAGCTTATATTTTCAATTGAAAAACTAAACAATCATTGAAATGATATCAACGAGACGATTATACGAAGTCGTTTTCACATTATTCATAATCAATAATAGTTTTAAAAGTCAATAAATCAAAAGATGAAATTTTTCTTAATATACGAGCAAAATCATCAAAACATTTTAGTTCAAATTAAAATATATATAAAGTTTTACCTTAATGTTATTTTAAAGTGATTTTCAATGGATAATGGTGATTATAAAAAGAAGAAAATAGGAAAAATCCTAAAGTAACGAGAGATATAGTTATTAGGTTGAAGTTGAATTCATTCATGTTTTTATTTTAGATTTATTTGTATATTTATTTGTAAAGTTTAACTCTTAGCTTAATATTTAGTATAAATTAATATAACATTTTTTTAGTATATATATATAGATATATATTTAGTAGTTTGCTCTTAAATTAAAATTTGATGGGGGTCAATTTTTATTTTGTAATGGGGTCAATTTACAATTACCAATCAAAATTTAGCTAGGTTTAAAAAATCCATGGGTGTCAATTGACCCCCATGCTATAACCCTATCTCCGCCACTGACTTCATACATAGTATTTGTGGTCCGGCTTGGTTCTCTTCTTCAACTTATCCAACATTTCATCTACCATATCTGATACGTAAAAATATCAAGAACTTAAGCAATGTTCAAAGCAGAAAATAGAAAGTGCTTTTTTTTTTTTTTTTTTTTGTTAGGAGCGAAGTTTTACACTTTTAGACTTGTATCGCTTATGGAAGTGAGATACTAAGTACGAATAAACGAAGAAATAAAATCTCCAACAAATGATATGATTTTTTATTATTGTCGGAAAAGAAATGGAGGTATAGTAGATATACAGATAGATCGATCTATATATGTTTTATTAGTTTGATGTGTGGATCATCTTTCTCGAGAACACTTGAATAACGGATTACGTACACATAATATATGTGACTATGTGTCTGCGACAACAACCGAGGTCTAACTATTTTGTATTGTTGTTAAGAGATTCAGTTTCTATCTTAAAAATAAATATCTTAGAGAGTTAAAAATATTTTATTAGGAGGTCTAACAACAACCGAGGTCTATCTTTTTGTCATTTTCTCTGATTGTTTTTCCTGAATATGAAAATTCTTTGCTGCCTAATATCTTATAAGAAAAACTGTACTAGCTAGTCCAGCTTATTAACGATGTCTTTCAAAGTTTAAATCATGGCAAATCCATAAAGTTTCCACCATATATAATCGTTATCTACTAAATTACAATATTAACCCTTTGTTGACATTTCTATATAAACACCAGAACACCATTTAGCAGAGAGCAAGCCCTATAGAGTCTGGGCCGGTCCTAGCCTGTAGGTGGCCTAAAGCATATTTTAAAAATGTGGTCTTCTTATATAAATAACTAACGATAAAATTTAATATTAAACCACTGGAAAAAATGTTAAAAATCATTAAATATAGTTGATGAAAAACGTTATTAAATATGTTAACAACGTAAAACATGAAAATAAAGCTAATTAACTAAGCGTAAGCCAAAAGTCGAACCGACGCCACGAATGTGGTGGCTCACACACGCTGGTCGGAGACAAAAACGTTAATTAAGCGGCAGATTTGTCTAGAAGAAAAGAGAAGGGAGAGCGATTTTCTAAGAGATAGAAAAAATTGAAGTGAACCACCGAATTATTCCAAATTTATTGTTATGATTTTAGGTTTGTTTATAAAGGTGTATGACTTTATCAAGCAAACAAAATGTATAGATAAAGTAAAGGAAACTACTATGAAGAGAAGAAGAATAAAAAGATAATTATGGAAAAAAGAAATACAGGAAAGTGAAAAAATATTAACCAAAAAAAGAATAGAAGCGTGAGAAACTGAGAGTTGACTCGAACCCTGAAACCTCACACAATCTGCAGACCTACATAACCACTTTACCAACCTAACACTATCGTAACTGTGGCCCTCAAATTTTATTTATATTGTGTGGCCTAAAGCAAATGCTTTGCTTGCTTTATAGACGGGCCGGGCCTGTATAGAGTACTTAAAAAATGGCTTATTCTAAAACTATTCTCATATTCTTCTTCTTTACATTTGTGACACTATGCTTTGTGATATCAGCCGATGCGGCTACAATTACTGTGAGAAACAATTGTCCATATGTTGTTTGGGCTGCCACATATGCTCCGGGGAAACCTGGCGGTGGGAGGCGACTCAACCGAGGCGAAACATGGACCGTTCCTGCTGATCCAGGTACCATCCAGGCTCGGATTTGGGGCCGCACTAACTGCAACTTTGATGCCTCAGGAAGAGGTAGTTGCCAGACTGGTGACTGTAATGGCCTCCTAGAATGCAAATCTTATGGACGAGCACCAAATACCTTGGCAGAATATGCTCTCGCACAATTTGCAAACCAAGATTTCATCGATATTTCGGTGATCGATGGATTCAATATTCCGATGCAATTCAGTTCCGCATCAGGACAATGCAGTCGCGTTATTAGGTAAATCGAATTTCAACACAAAAGAATAACTATACAAACTATATTTGTTATTGTTGTGAAATATTAATATTTTTTTTTTCAGGTGTACCGGAGATATTATAGGACAATGTCCTAGCCAACTACGAATGGACGGTGCTTGCAACGGACCATGTCCGGTGTTGAAGACGGAGGAACACTGTTGCAACTCCGGTAATTGTGGACCGACCCCACTCTCTAGGTTCTTCAAGCAACGTTGTCCAGACGCCTATAGTTACCCGAAGGATGATCCTACAAGCCTCTTCACTTGCCCAGCCGGAACCAACTACAATGTTATTTTCTGTCCGTAAATGAAAATGATTATCATCAACATGCTTACATGCTATAATATCATAAGAGCAAAAGCCAATAATATCAATACGGTATGATTAATAATTACGATGTACGAATTGCTATGAATAAATCGAAGTATGTTTCATCTTATTAATAAAAGAAGATTAAGTACTGCTCATAACAAAGATCTCGCATTTGTATTATATTGACATCAATAGATACATTTATATACTCCCGTCGGCGATTTTCTAGCGAGTGAATTAAACCTGGCTTTACTTTCGGAACAACTTCAATCATGACATTTCCAACGCAAAACATATACGTACATACATAATGACACATGCACACATCCATGATACGTTTTATATTTCTTGGGGATGTAGTTAACGATTTAGATTTTATTTGTATTGCTTACTTTTCTTCGAAACTTATGTGACCATGATACTTACGCAAGTCGATATTTTGTCTAGGTCCTTAGAACTGTTTTAGTATGACTTTTAATTGCCACCATGTGGCCATCACGTTTTCATTTTCTACGGACTTATCTTCTATTTTTGTCGTCTTCCTCTCTATGCATCTACAATCTGTGGATTTAACCAAGAAGTCAAAGGATTATTTTCTTTAATTAATCTTTTTTTTTTTTTGTAAAGAAAATGTAATCCAAATTTGACACGAGTTAAGGATCCTCTAAGGGCACATACGCAAAAATGAGCTTTCATTTTGAAAATATGTTTGACACCATCCTCATAGTCGGTACTTGCAGTCATAGTAGCTGAGCTCATTCTTGCAAGTATCCGAAATATTTAATAAAAGCTTAGAAAGACCACCGACCTATATGGACGTTTTTCGTATTAACAATATATGTGTCTATTTATAAAATTTTTATTTTATTTTTTAAAACTATTTAATATAAATTTCATCGTATGCTAGTATCATAAATACATATATAATTGGTGATCTTAGCAAAGAACAATATATAATTGGTGATGACAAAGAAAAACTTGGATAATTGGTAGAAACTACTTTAATTTTGTCTTTTTAAGTTACTGTTTGAAAAACAAATTATAGTTTTTATAAGATTTATCATGTTCAGATTTGTTAATTCCATCACACAATCGAATTTCGTACTCGTAGTTAAATCTAAGTCAGTGAACTCAGTAAATCTAAGTCAGTGAACTTCGATCTAGTATGAAAGTTTAGTTATATATCAAATGTTTTCACACCAAGCTAGATTTGAATAAGGTTGTTCACTTATTACATGTTGTGTAAGTATTTCAATGGTAATTTGGCGAACTTCTGGTTTGATTATTGGACATCTTTCGGTCCACTAATTAAGGTCTTTGGACTGGCTACTTCAATCCAAATGGGACTCCCTTTCCAAAGATGGAAAAGTCATTGACCATATCTCTCCTCTCAGCATCGAGTTGTAATAAAAATGTCATAACAATCAATCAATTTGTTTTAATCGAATTAACTACTTTGTGGCATCAGTCAAATAAGGCAAGCAAACAATAATTTACTATCACTCTATAATTAATAAGTACGTAGTTCTCTTAGCTCCTGAGAATGTCTACGTATGTGGAAAAAAAAAAAAAGAGAATGTCACGTATATAAACTCTTTCGCTTTGTTCAAAGTTGTTTCCTACTACTTATTTTTCTTTTGCAGCCATCTCTAAATATGAAGCATAAAGAGATAAGTTGCATAGTATAACAAACGAATTATGCATGGTATACCATATAATATAGACACGAATTCGATATATTCTTCTAAATTTTTTTTTTAAGTTCCAAATGTTTATGGTGTAGAGTAACTAAATTTAAGCTCAATGCCAAGTACTTGGTCTAGCTAGCTGAATGATCTTATGTAATCTGTGAATATTCAATCCCGGTTTGCATTGGTTTGAGAATGTATAATCGAACCATTAAAGTTTTTAACTTTATCAGATCCTCTTTGGTAGTAGTCCTTTTGATTGGGACAATGACACGTGGTCTTGTTTGTGTTGTGTAAAATCATCCAAGCAATTATCAATGTAGAAGATTAAAGTAAATGTGTTCTTGTTTTCTCTCTAGAACAAGTGAACACAAATGAGAAAGAAAGAGTAAAATATAGAGAGATCGTGAGAATTACAACAGATCTAGAGAGAGAACAGGTAAAGAGACGAAAGAGAGAGAGAGATCATAACCACAGTTCGTCTCCCGTTCAGATCTAATTATCACAAACCAGCAATGGATGGCTCCTTCATCATCTCCAATGGAGTATTTTAGTTCAGGTTTAATTCTCGGGACGGATCAGAACCATTTCCTGATTAAAAAAAATCTCATCAATTTCTGATCATCACCATCATCCTTATCAAGAATATTTATTCGTTCCCGACCATTTGATTTCTCCGGTAGAATCTAACGCGAAGAGGTTTCAACATGAGACGTGTATATATACATGTTAGAAAGATATCTAAAATTGTAGCGGCACAAGTGGTAGTATGTATGCAATTTAAAAGCAGAGGTCTAGTGTTTTGAAACTCAGTTTCAACATTATTTTTTTTCTTCTTTAAAAGTATCCAAAACGACGATAGTTTTGATAACTTATATACGGAAATACACGGTTTGCAAAATCTATATACTGTTGAGGGTTATATTGCATGTGATTTTTGAATTGGTGGTATTGACCTGCATATTTTCTAGTTGGAGGGTTAACTTGCAAAAAAAATTGTTTGGAAGTTTGCACAAAGCCCTTAAAATAATCAACACATATATTAGTTTTCATTGATTTATTTGATAATATCAGTACAAAAATTATGAATTTCTAAAGCTTTCATATGATGATGATGATTATTATTATTATTATTGTTTCATTTGTCATTCTGATTATGTCGCATCATTTTATTTATAATAATTTTTTTATTTTATTTTAATTTATTTATAAAGGTATTTAAATGCAAGATAAAATTTTACGATCTTCAATCTCATATAAATTTAATACAAATACTTAACTAAAATTATCATTTTCAGATTTTTTTTTAGAAACATTGTACAAATTAATATTATGCCACACTCGTGTAAAATTAGCGTCAAAGATACCAATAAATGTCATAAATGTATCATTGAAGTTACTTCATTTAAGAAGAAATTATGTTTGACTTGTGTATAGTCCACAAATAATTATGCTATTCTTCACTTGTTAAAGTTAATTAGACGTCAAAGATAACAACCAATCTCTTAAATGTATTGATGCAAGTAGTTAATTTCAGAAGAAATTTTGTTTGACTTGTGTATGGTTCAAAGATATATATATATATATATATGTTTGAAGGGATTTAAGGAAACTTAATTTAAGAAGATATTTTGAAGGGATTTAAGGAAACTTAATTTAAGAAGATATTTTGTTTGACTTATGTATGGTTCAAAGATATATATATATATATATATATATATATATATATATATACTATTATACCAAAGTATTTAATTATTTTTACTAACTCCTAACTAGGTGTACAACACACACATATATATATATATATATATATGTGTGTATACTCTACTTCAATGAATCATTCAGGCATATCACATTTATAGGGAGAACCGGAGAAGGTGATTATCCCAAATGAATTCTTCAGATCTTTCTCCAAATACTATATCTCAATAACAATTGTATATATATAAGAAAAACTAATGATCTCATTTCTCTAGTTCGCAGGTTGATGAAAATGAAATTGGGGTGTGCATTTCGAGTGATGTGCATGATTTTGGCATGTTATATTATATGTTGTAGCCTTCTAATGAGTCATTGCCATGGCGTTGTAGAAGAAACAAAGACATTAAAAAGTAAAGAAGATCTTGAAATAGAGCAAAAACTTAAGCTTTTCAACAAACCCGCCGTTAAAATCATAAAGGTTTACTCTCTCACCATGTTATAGAATAGTTGAATGTGTTTACTAAATATTTCTAACATCAAAATCCTTATCCTAAGTAACCTTGGATCTGTATAAACACGATAAAAGATATGAAAACCATGCGTGAAACACTTCCAAAATATTATAAAAACATATAATATATTTTCTTATTTATGAATCCACAGTCTATTAGTGGTGAAAGGTATGGATGCGTGGATTTCTACAAACAATCAGGACTTGACCACCCATCCATGAAAAACCACACATTTCACCATAAGGTATATTGCAGTAATAATATGAATATTCTTGTAGGTTACTTTAAGAAACGTACATTTATTAAAATAAAATAAAATTCAATTTTGGTTCGACTAATTTATTAATTTATATTGGATTCTAATGTATAGATGCGTTTGACGTCATACCCAGAAGGATTAAAAATTAAAAGACAGACACATAGTAACAAAACATTTGGCCACTTTTGGGAGAATGGTGTGGGTTGTCCTATTGGTACAGTTCCTATACTTCAAGTCACCAAAGACGCTCTTTTGAAAATGAAATCCTTATATGGCGATAATTCTAATCCGCAAAGTTCATGGAGCAAAACCTATAAATCTACTTCTTCTAATGGAGGTCATCATCATGTAAGTGCTTTCTTTTGATATTTATTTTTCGAGTAAGAAATGTCAAACATACAAAAAACCTCTATAAATAATTATTCGGTAAATTAATAATTACTATATATGAATAAATTTTTCTGGTCCCTAGTTGGACCAATATAATATTTTATACAATTCGATAAAATAATAAAATAATATTTTTTTTTTTGAAAATCCTATATGATCAATATGCAAAATTAATAATTGTATAAACTTCTATATATATATATTTATATGTTATCTAAGAAAATTTAGTGAAATATGACTCTACTATTTTTTTTATAAATTGCATTAATTCTTTTTAAAGTTTATTTCCAGTATTTTTACACCATCGAATTTTTTTTTTGTTGTTTTCTAGACATAGTAATTGTTTTTTTTATTTATTTGTAATTAGTTCTAGAAATATATTGGTCATAACGAAAAACTTCTTTTTAGACATATAAGTTTCGATAAATTATGAAATTAGTCAAATCTCTCTATAAATTATTAATTGACGATAAATTAGTACCTCTATAAATTAATAGAATTTCATAGTCCTGATATTTTTAATTTATAGAGATTTACTACATAAAATAAAGCGTTGCAATAAAGAGATTAGTGGGCTACTAATGTTAGTTTTCTCAACCATTGTATTCAGTTTGCTGTGGTACGGACTACTAAAGGAAAACCAAGGCGTTACAATGGAGCGTATATGAATAGTAATGCATTCAATCCTTCAGTTGGACCTATGCAGTTCAGCTCTACTCGTATGCATTTTCAAATTGGAAATGAATTCATCCATGTCGGTTGGACTGTAAGTCAATTAATTTAAATCCGCTATTTTTTATACTCGATGTATTATGGTATATCCTTTTCTATGATTAATGTATATAAATCTTATTTTTCATTCATTTTAGGTACACCCACAATTATACCACGACTTCAACTCTCGGCTATACGTATTTACAAGTGTGAGCGGGCTAGATCTTGGTTTAAATATTTAGACAATATATACGAATTATGCATAGTTGATAAATCAATGATTTATCGTCACATGTTATATGGTTTGATTCAGGCGGGAGGACATGAGTGTTATAATCTCTTATGTCCAGACGGATCCGGAATGATACTAGTCAGTCAAGATCTTATTCCTGGCCGACTTACCGAGCACAGGGATTTAAACTTCGCCATAATCAAGGTCAATTCTTTTCCAACTATTATAGACATAACTCTGCATGTTTCAGGTATTCAAGAACGTTTGAGTATGGTACATATAGTAATATGTAGATGCATGGAGATGAATATGGATATGGGTACTGAAAATTTAGTGTTAGGGTATTTGTATCCCATCCAATATATATATATATATATATATATATTTTCGTATTAGATTTTAAAAATATTTTTACAGATAAATAATTTCTTAATTTCTCTTACTTTGTATAAAAATAATTCAAAAATTAAATTCAATGAAGATTTTTGTCAAATATAGTTTAACAAAAATGAGATCCGCGGTTCCCCAAGTTTTTGTTGCTGATATTTAAAATTTGAGTATCCAAACATTGCTAAGAACAATTATTAAAAGTAACTGCATGTTTGAATAGGAGTCGGGTAAAGGAAGGCAAGCAAGTTTTTTGTCTATAATTTTTGCCTTTTTTAATGTGGATTTTGTTGAGTACAGGACAAAGACAACGGGAATTGGTGGTTGTTGATGGGTACCGGCTATTTATGGGAACACATTGGGTTCTGGCCAGCAAGCAGGTTCAAAGAAAGTTTTGGTACAGGAGTCGAATGGGGTGGTGAAGTCTATAGCCCTTCGCCACCAAGTCCTCCGATGGGTAATAGTCATTTTCCGAAGGGTAGCCCCAGACTAGACTCATATGTCCGTTTAATCACGACTTGGGACGAAAATTATAATGCCGACGATTTTGTGAAAAACACAGAGAGATTTTCAAATAGTTGTTATAAAGTGAGTGATACAATATATATGCAAGATACTTGGAGAAATGTAGGTCATCTTATTGTTTATGGAGGCCCGAAGTGTAAATGAACTTCGATAGTGCTTAGCATTATTCTAAAACTGTAATGTCTGAAAATGCTTGAAAGAATGCATGAGAATAGCTTTCTTAGTATGAAAAAAATAAAAGAAAAGGAAACTTAAGAGAAATTAAAAGAACATCTTCAGATATTTTTATTTAACTTGTTTTACAGTATTAGAAAGAGGAAGAAAGAAGAACTATTTCTATGTTCCACGTTTAGAAAATATCGTGTTTATTATATCATAATCTTTTAAAAATTCCACTACACATTACCTAATTTTTTTATCTGACAATTTTTTTTAGATATAGTTCTCTAGAAAAAGTTTAATTGGTGTTTACACTCTTAAGTACATTAGAAATTTTGTAGAACTTAGAGTTAATTTTGTGTTTGATTGAACTTATAGCCCAAAGTCACGTTTAATTTCACTACCCCATTATTTGAGGTCATATCTTACACGAATAAGCTCAATAGTCTACATGCATTTCAGCATGTTTGCGGTAGTAATAATGCTCATTTTATGGGATCGATTTGTAAGAAAACTGACTAATAAAACTAATGAAATGTTAGGTTTTGTGTTGGATGAAATTGTGTGATTTTGATATTGTCGAGCAATATATGTTTATGTGGTTTTGTTGTCACTAGTGATGTTAAAGTGGGCCTTAAGGCCACGGGTCCAAACGGGCTATTTGTATTCTTTTTGGATCCGAACCTGTTTAAAAAACAAAAAATATTAAAAAGAACAAAAAATATTAAAAAGGTGCACCGTTTAAACCGATTAGAAAAAGTACAAACACTATCGTATGAAAGTTAGCGTCAAAAATAACAATAATGTCATAGATGGAAAGATGGAAATTACTTAATTTAAAAAGAAATTATGTTTGACATATATATGGTCCACATATAATTATGTCATCCTTGACATGTAAAAATTAATTAGTCAAAGATAACAGTAAATCTCTTAAATGTATTAATAGAAATTACTTAATTTAAGAAGAAATTTTGTTTGACTTGTGTGTGGTCCAAAGATATATACTATAACAAATTATTTATGTTTGGAATCATTTAAGGAAACATAATTACATATCCTAAGGGTCTTACTGTATATAATAATTATATATAATATGTATACTCTACTCTAATGAATCATTTAGACATATTACATTTATAAGGAGAAGGTGATTATCCCAAATGACTTCTTCAAAAAACTTTCTCCAACTACTATAGCTCAATAATAATTTATATATAGAAAAACTAATGATCTCATTTCTCTAGTTCGCAGCTTGATGAAAATGAAATTGGGGTGTGCACTTCCAGTGATGTACATGATTTTGGCGTGCTATATTATATGTTATACCTTTCTGATGAGTTATTGTCATGGCGTTGTCGAAGAAGCAAAGACATTAGAACGTAATGAAGATCTTGACATAGAGCAAAAACTTAAGCTTATCAACAAACCTGCGGTTAAAATCATAAAGGTTTATCTTCTCACCATGTTACAGACTTACGGAATAATTGAATGTGTTATCAAATATATATACCACTAGAATCCCTATCTTAAATATCCTTGGATCTATAAAATATAAAGACAATAAAAGTTATGAAATCATGCGTGAAACACTTAATAAATATTATAAAAACATATACTATATTTTTTTTTATGAATCCGCAGTCTATTAATGGTGAACGGTATGGGTGCGTGGATTTCTACAAACAACCAGGACTTGACCATCCATCCATGAAGAACCACACATTTCACTATAAGGTATTACATTGATAATATGTATTTTCTTAATATTTAAAAGATTTGTACTCAATGTAAAATACTCCCTCCGTTTCATAAAGAGTGTCGTTTTAAGGTTTTATTTTTGTTTCACAAAGAGTGTCGTTTTAGGTTTTCAATGCAAAATTTAATGATTTTTTATGTTTTATGACTATTAGTATTCTGCAGATTGTTTTACTATTGGGTAGATTATGTTTAGGTATATAGTTAATGATGTTTTTGTTTAGAAAAAACAAAAAATTTAATGTTTTCTTAATCTGTGTGCAAAACTCTAAAATGACACTCTTTGTGAAACAGAGGGAGTATATGGTAATTAGAAAATTGGTAATATTATGACTGATATATATTTTGATTATTTTATCGTTTCATAAATTATTACGAGATAAGTAATTTTTGAGTAATATGTATATATATCCATTGGATTGGAGATTAGAATCTAAGAATTTGAGTTGATGATTTAGTTTGATTTGAGCTTCATGTGATAAGTTAGACGTCTACATAATCAAATAACACATTACTGAATAATATCATTTACCATCTGAAACATTAGGCCTTTATATAACAAAATAACATGTTACATAAAGAAAAGTAAAGCTTCTCGTAGTAACTAAAATAGAAATAAAAAATCCAAATATTAATGTTATTTTCTTTATTGCAATCTTCCATATTGCCATATGGTAAATTTCGCTCTAATAACTAAACTACCTTTTCTTTTTAAATGGCTATTGGATACACATTGACCAAATTTTCTGCTTATATTTAATATGAAGTATAACTAATTCTAAATGGTACTTTGATTAGAACGAGTGATATTTTAAACAAGTACTTTTGAGTTTCAATTTACTTTTTTTTTTCTAGCAGAGTAATTAAGAAGAGTACCTTTATAAAAATTCAATGATGGTATTACTAATTAATTAATTTTATTGGATTTCAATGTCCAGATGCGTATGTCACACCTCGAACGATCAAAAATGAAAAGAGAAACACATAGTAACAAAACATTTGGTTACTTTTGGGAGAATGGTGTAGGTTGTCCTATTGGTACCGTTCCTATACTTCGAGTCACTAAAGATGCTCTTTTGAAAATAAAATCCATCGATAGCGATAATTCTAATCCGCAAAGTTCGTGGGGCAAAACCTACAAACCTACATCTTCTATTGATAATCATCATGTAAGTACTTTCTTTAAGTTTTTATCTTATGAGTAAGAAACGTTAAACATATATAATAGAACTTCGAAATAATGAGATTGGTAGAAAGCTGAAATTATAGATGAATATGTTTGCACATAATTATTAATTAAAATAATGATTAAATATTTTTTTAATTAGATAAGTACACAATATTTAAGTAGTTAGATTTTAAACATGTTAATAATATATAGCTTTTTACAAACACGTGAAAATTTTGATTAATGGTTCGTGGAGAGTATATATATGGTAGATGATATATTAGGATACATAAGTAATTATATATTGTAATTTATAATTTAATATCATCTATTATCTGATATAATTATATACTTTGACGGAAAAAAAAAAATCTGATACAATTATATTTGAATACATAAAAAATAATGATTTCTATTAACTCAAATTACTAATACCAATTTATAAGATTTGATTCTAATTTTTAAGCATTACAATTTAACCATATCACAATGTTAGTTTTCTCAACATTGTATTCACTATTCAGTTTGCTGTGGTGCGTACTACTAAAGGGAAACCAAAGAGTTATAATGGTGCGTCTATGAATATTAATACATTCATTCCTTCGGTTGGACCTATGCAATTCAGTGCTAGTCGGATGCATTTTCAAATTGGAAATGAATTCATCCAAGTTGGTTGGATCGTAAGTCAATTAATTTAGATCCGCTATTTTTATACTCGATGTAATATAGTGTATCTTTTTCTATGATTAATGTATATGAATCATATTTTCTATTCAGGTACACCCGCAATTATACCATGACTTCAACTCTCGGCTATTCGTATTTACAAATGTGAGCGGGCTAGATCTTGTTTTACATTTTAATACCATATATACGAATTATGCATAATTGATAAATCATGCAATGATATATCGTCACATGTTATATGGTTTGATTCAGGCGGGAGGACATGAGTGTTATAATCTCTTCTGTCCGGACGGATCCGGAATGATACTAGTTAGTGAAGATTTTACTCCTGGTCTACTTGCCGAACAAAAAAGTATTGACTTTGCTATAATGAAGGTCAGTTCTTTTCCAACTATTACTCACATAACTCTATAGGTTTCAAGTATTCAAGAACGTTTGAGTATAGTACGAATAGTAATCTGTAGATGCATGCAAATATGAACATATGAATATATGAGTATTGAAAATTTAGTGTTAGAATACTTGTATCTTCGGGCGGATCCATCAAAAAAACTTTGTGGAGGCAAAATGGTATTCAGAAGGAATCGAACACCCTACCTCCATCATTATTCAAAAGCATTTGAACCATTTTACCACTTTTATTCATTTGTCTAATGATAAAATTTTAGTTATATCTATTTAAGTGGTGGAAGGTGCACCCACAATCTATAACATGGATCTGTCCCCTGTTTGTATTCCATCCAATACATATAACTCTTTTTTTCTTTCGGTTTTCATATTAGATTTTAAAACGTACACATAGGAGTCAGGTAAAGGTAGGTATGGCAAGCTTTTTGGTTTTTTTTTTTTATGTGCATTTTGTTGTGTATAGGACAAAATCAATGGAAATTGGTGGTTGTTAATGGGCACCTCTTGGGAAGAAATTGGGTTTTGGCCATCAAGCAGATTCAAAGAAAGTTCTGGTACAAGAGTAGAATGGGGTGGTGAAGTCTATAGTCCTTCGCCTCCAAATCCTCCAATGGGCAATAGTCATTATCCGAAGGGGAGCCCCATAGTAGACTCATATGTCCGTTTGATCACGACTGTGGACGAAAATTATAATACTGACAAAACTGTGAAAAACACTGAGAGGTATTCAGACAGTTGTTATAAAGTGAGAGATGCAACAGAGACGTTTTTTACACATGTAGGTCATCTTATTATTTATGGAGGCCCTGGATGTAAATAAACTTTGATTGTGCTTAGCATTATTCCAAAATTGTAATATCTGAAAATATCTGAAAGAAATCAAGCGAATAAAGTTTTTAGTATTGAGAAAAATAAAATAAAAAGAAACTTAAGAGAAATTTAAAGAATACTTTATATCTTAGGGTTTATTTAAGTTGTTTCACTTTGTTAGAAAGGGGAAAAAGAAGAACTATTTATATATTCCAAATTTAGAAAATAGCTTATTTATTGTATCATAATCTCTAGAAAATTCCACTTCATAAGCTAAATTTTTTTATCACGCAAGTCTTTTATTTTATTTTATATAGATATATAGTTCTCTCTTTTTTTCGTCATATAGATATAGTTCTCTAGAATAACTTTAATTGCTGTTAACACTTTTAAGTACTTTCAAAATTTTAGTCTACATGCATTTTATCATGTGTGTGGTAGTAATAAATAATAATGATTATTTTATGGGATCGATTTGTAAGAAAACCGACCAATGAATTGTTTTGTGCTGAATGAAATTGTGTGATTTTGATATTTTCGAATAATATAACTTTATGTGGTTTTGTTGTTACTATGCAATTATATTTACGTATATATAATTATGTATTTCGGAACTTCGGATTATCAAAACAACACACATCCTTTTTTTTTGATAATGGATTTGCTTTATAAATAAACCAAAAAATTGACAACTAGGAGCTACGTAGGAGAAGGTCGCTGTAGAGGCTCAGTTTATCTTGTTGGAAGGAAGATTCTCTCTTTTGAAATAAAAAAAATAAATATTTCATAATGGCTTGACAACAGGGGATCGAATGCGGAGGTGGAACAGGGGGTTGAGAACTGACTGTGCTCTTTGTGGTCATCAAGAGGAATCAAGAAAAAACCTATTCATTGATTGCCAATTTCTCAGTTCAGATTTTGGAAAGATTGGCATCGAGATTGTTAGGAAACGCTTTCTCAAAGGAATAGAACGAACTCATCACTTATCAGCATACAAAGCGACACAAGGCTCGACAATATTAAGCTTTATCTCCAGAGGTATGTCTTCCAATCTCGCATCTGGAGGAAAATAAACAAGCGGCGTCATGGCGAATACCACACAACAACAATTGTGAAACTGATTGATCGTGCGTAATAGTTTGTCTTCTATGAAACCAGTAAACAAGGTCAAATCATTGTCCAAGAGATGTAATTATGAAGCTTCAAACCCGCAGTAACACATGGTTGTAAAAACGGTTTTTTTTTTATTTTGTTTTTTATTGAATAAAATTTCATATTCATATAGAAAGAAATCACGTTGGGATGTGAACTTCGATAAATGACAATTTGCCAAGCGAAGATAGTAGCTTCATGTAAGGAGAGATCATAAGCCCTTAGACATAAATGAGAGCACTGCCAGCAAATAATAAGTGACGTAATAATGTCAATGATTGAAAGTTCTGTTTGATCAAAAATCAGGGAGCAGCCATCTATTTATTTTTCCTTGACTAGCATTGTAAAGGTCATTTTTCAAGAATTTGATATTACCATTGGGTTTGAAATATTAACAAGACTACAGGAGTCTAAAATCCCATTATGAAACAATCTTTTTTTTTTCCAGGTTTATTATTGTACACTAGAAAACTTGTTCTGTAATCAATATTCTGAAAATCTCCTATGTAGCATATATATAGTTCCTTTTGCTTCCGTAAGATCCTATTGTTAATTTGGTATGAATACTATATCCTATGTTTTAGATTTTAATTCTAATGAAATGCAGGTTGATCTGTTAAACTGCTCTAAGAATCCAATCAAAACAGTATTGAAATCTAGCAAAAGCATTCAACGTAACTTTCCCAAGTTATTGGTGACAAAGATTGACAAGTCATCAACCGTATTAATCTCCCATACCACACATCTCATCTCAACAACAAGGTAATACTATTGTTTTATTGATTTATTAGTCAAATATGAGAAAGCAAACACTATTTTTTTTTATATCATTCTGCAAGTAATAAGCCATATCTAGGTAAACTTTTCTGGTGTATCTATTACTCAGCGGGTGCTTGTGCTACTGGTACTGCATTAACTCGTACCCGTTCTCTCGGTCCACCTGGTGCATCCGGGGTAAATAATGTCCCCGGTCCGCAAACAAAAATAACATCCACCTACATATGTATTTCAAGTAGCATTGAGAAGTTTTGGTATAAATGAATCTATTGAGATATATAATGGTAAAAAGAGTCAACACCTCAACATCTCCGAAAGCAATAAGCTGATTTGCTATAGCAACACTTTGTGAAACACCTGAAAGGGAGACATGGAGTATTCCGTTGGGGCGACTAGATTGTACAGCAAGACCTACATCTGTGAGCATCGGTTGGAACCATCCACTCAAGTAAAGAATAATCCCACGACCCTATACATAGCCAAACAAAATCAGAGAAACAATTGGAAATTAAAAAAGCTTCTACTGATTGAATTGCGACTAAACACTAACCATGCGGTTTTCTCGGGATGGTAACGATAACAAGGAGGCTTGTGAAACGTATCCCCTCCCTGACAAGATGTAGACTGCCTGACGAGAGATCCTAGAAATATATGCCAGTACACTGACAATGTCCTGTTGTTCGAGGTTCAAGACATCTCTTTTAGAAAACTCACGAAGAGAAGTGAAACTAATGGAGGAAAAGAAAATACTTACGGCTCGATTCGGGATCACTATGATTCTGCGTGCAGTGGGTGGTGACACTACAAAGAGATGAAAATGACAGATTCAAGATCCCTAAAAGAAACCCTAATTTTGAAGATTGGGAATATACTTACGAGGACGCATATTAGCCAATGGAATCACCTGCCCTCCTCGGACAATACCATTTTGTCTGTGATGATAGAAGAATAAGAGCTCATTGCCTTAGATTCCAGATTCTAAGATTGATTAATTCGAGAAAACATAAATTGTAAATAAGAAAAAGAAGAAGAAAATAGACCTTGTTGGCTGATCCACGGTAATCGAAGAGTTCTCGCTCATGTTCTTCCAAACTGTTAACTTAAGCGAAAAGAAGAAATTGTACTTTGGATAAAATTTGCCTCAAGTGGTATTTATAATCAAAAGTAGAAACGGTAAAAAGGGGAAATTTGTCTTAAATGCGAATTTTGTTTTGAATAAAAAGAGCATATATTTAGGCTAGTAAAGAAACTAATTAAAGTATTGCTTTCTACTTTCTACAATTTAATATTTTTCACGGATGCAAATTTGACTCTCCTTGTTTGACTGTTTTTTATAGTATCTGAGATAATGTTCAACCATGGTTATAATCTTACTTATCCATGAGAAAGCTAATAAATATTTGAAAGTTTTAATCCAATTCTATTAATAGGAGATTAAAATGGAAACCCAAAAGATATAAATAATTTTTTTAACTCTCTGAAGCCATGGTTTAGAGCCTTAGAGTATCCATGACAACCTCCTCGGCCACCTCTTGGTAGTGATTGTCAACACTCTTCCCCTGAATCATTGATCAACCTCCAACTTTTAAAAGATTGTCTCCCATTTGAACTAATATTTTAATGTACATGACAAATCCTTATGACTGTAGCCAAGGCACTTTTGAAGTCAATGATCGGGGTAGGAGAAGTGATTTCAACCCCCTGTTGTAATACATGATTGCATAATCAAAACCAATCTATGGGACAAAGCCACATTTGGCGCGCTTTAAAATATTTTTTTGATAACGGTTTCCAACGGATTTTTGATATCTACAAATTTTGGCGCGCTTTCCACTTCCAAACTAAAACTTTGAAAGAATTTAAACGGCATACCAACATAATTAACACTTTTTAAGAAGATGTAAGATCTTTAATATTTCATAACCATAATTAAATTGATAATTAAACAATACATGATTGCATAATGTTCCACTGTTGTGATACATGATTGCATAATGAAAACCAATCTATGGGACAAAACCACATTTGAATTATTTTGGCACGCTTTAAAATAATTTATTGATAACGGTTTCTAACGGATTTTTGATATCCAAAATATTGGTACTCTTTCAACTTTCCAAACTACTCCTTCTGTTTTATTATATTAGATGTTTTAGAAATTTTATTTTGTTTCATATTATAGAATGTTTTACAAGTTTCAATGTAAATTTAAATGCATTTGACAACTTGTGATTATTTATATTCTAGAATTTTTTTTATGATTGGTTGAATTTTATTTAAAATCATATCCGCCTTAAAATCATAATCTATAGAGCAAAGAACGAATCCTAGGTGAAATCATTAGTCGAAATATGAAAACGGGAACTTAATTGTATTGTATTGATTATATTATACCTTTCGGAAAGTCTGGAGATTCGTCAGGCTAAAGAGTTTTGGAAAATGAATAAATTAGAGAAATAAAGAAAAGGTAAAAGAAAAAAAGAAGATATCATTTCAATTAATTAAAGAAAACTATACAAAGACTAATACGCACCATTTTGTTGTTTGTGAAGAAGCAAACAATAAATGGAAGATTTGCTATGTGGAAAGTGTAAAGAAACCGATTCGATAGTGCTTAGCACTAGCCCAAGACCATAATACCCGAGAAACTCGATATAATCAAGATAAGAAACCTTCTAAGTATGATAGAAAATTTGGAAGAACAATTAGAGACTACTTGAAAGACTTTTGGAGAGACTTAGAGAACTTTTAAAGAGTGTTCTTTTATTTGAACTTTCTTTTTATTCACTTGTTCAACTTCCTCACATAATTATAAATGATGGGGGTGAGGAGGTATTTATAGCCTCCAAGGTTAGCTTACAAAGTCTCTAGATTATTCTACCATCATCTCTATAACTCTACTAAAATATCTAGATTTTATCTTACAAACTTCTAGATTATTCTACATAATTATCTAAATATCTATCTAATAAAATTCTCTAGAACATTTAAGGAGGTGATGATTTTTCTATGATGCTCTAGAGAAATCTAGAACTTAGGCTTAACTTTGGGTTTTATCCAATATAGAATATTGAATTATAAACCCATAATTAAGCTTAAACCAAAATCAAGTTTAACTTCAATACTCCCTCTTAAACTTGATTTTGTCAACCATCCCGAGCTTCGAGCGAAGTAACTCGAATTGGCCTTTTGGTAATGACTTGGTGAAGATGTCTGCAACGTTGTCCTCACTTCGAACTTCCAAGGCTTCAATTGTTCCATCAAGAACCTTCTCCCTTATGAAGTGATGTTCTAACTCAATATGCTTTGTCCTTGCATGAAACACCGGATTGTTAGCTAACTTGATAGCACTTTGATTATCTCCGTAGATAGCCACCGGTTTATTTATGGGCTCGAACAAATCTTCAAAGAGTCTTCGAAGCCATATACACTCTTGAGCAGCGAGTGTGGAAGCTTTATACTCCGCTTCATTGGTAGATAGCGATACCGTTGGTTGTTTCTTGCTACACCACGAAATGCTTGTGTCTCCACATAAGAACACATAGCCCGAAGTTGATTTTCGGTCATCTAGATCTCCACCAAAGTCAGCATCTGTAAAACCATGAAGAGAAATCTTTGCATTGTACTTGTACACCAAGCCCATGTCAAGAGTTGTCTTGACATACTTCAAGATCTTCTTTGCCGCTTCTAAGTGTGGTTTCCTTGGTGCTTGCATAAACCGACTTACCAGACCTACCGCGAAGGCAATATCAGGTCTAGTAATGGTTAAGTATAGAAGACTTCCCACAAGAGCGCGATAAGGTCGAGGATCAGGTAACAATGAACCTTCATCACGTTTGAGCTTGATGTTCACATCCATCGGAGTAGTGCGCATCTTTCCTTCATGCACCCCGAACTTCTCAACAATCCTTCTTGCATAACCTTGTTGACCAACGAATATTCCATCCTTTCCTCTTTCAACCTCTAGGCCAAGAAAGTTATTCATCTCACCCAACTTCTTCATCTCGAACCTTAGCGACATGTCTTCTTGTAAGCGAGCAATTTCTGCATCATCATTCCCGGTAATTATCATATCATCCACGTAAAGAAGAACTACTATGTGAACTCCTCCTTTCTTCTTGAAGAATAGACTCGGGTCAGAATTTGATGCCTCATAGCCGCAAAATTGAAGGAATTGAGCAACCTTTCCATACCAAGCTCGTGGAGCTTGTTTTAATCCGTACAAGGCCTTTTTCAGCTTGCACACATGATCAAGATGCTCTCGTGATTCGAAACCAGGTGGTTGCTCCATGAAGATACTTTTATCAAGCTCACCATATAGAAAGGCATTCTTCACATCAAGTTGCCATAACTTCCAACCAAAGCTTGCTGCTAAGGATAAGAGTGAGCGTACCGTAGTCATCTTCGCCACAGGACTAAATGTCTCATCATAATCTTCTCCATATTTTTGAGAGAATCCCCGAGCAACCAACCTTGCTTTAAACCTATCAATGCTCCCATCTGCTTTTCGCTTAATTCGATACACCCATTTGCAAGAAACGGGCTCAACATCCTTGGGTTTTGGAACCAGATCCCAAGTTTTATTTTTCTTTAGAGCACTCATCTCCTCATTCATTGCAGCTTCCCATTCTTGGACTCCTTTAGCTTCATCATAAGAAGATGGCTCATCATCATCTAACGGAGCTGCGAAGAAGCATGAATAAGTAGTGATGAATTCTTCATCTCTATATCTTGTAGGCTTGACAATGTTTCTTTTCGGCCGTTGATTGACCATCGAACCATGATCTTGTTCCTCTTCTTCTTGGTTAGTGCTCCCCCTTTGACCTTGAATTTTATTTCCAGGACTTCCATTCTCACATGGTACTTGGAGAGTTGATTCATCGATCTTGGAGGAACTTGCACCATCTTTTTCAACCAAGACTTGAGGTGGCCCGTAGTATGAAGAAACTTCATCAAAGACAACATCACGAGACACAACATACTTGTGTGTCTCAGGATCCATACACCTCCAACCCTTCCTTTGTTCATCATAGCCGACAAATATGCATTTCTTCGTCTTTGCCTCCAACTTAGTTCTTTGTGAATCAAACACATGAACGTAGCAGACTGATCCAAATATTCTGAGATGTTTCACCGTTGGCTTCTTCCCATGAACCATCTCATAAGGAGACTTCATATTGTTTGGACTAAGTGGCATCCGGTTGATGACATAGGCTGCACATCTCATGCCCTCCGCCCATAACTCCTTAGGCAAATCTTTGCCATGGAGCCAACTTCTACACGTCTCACTTAGATGTCTGATCTTCCTCTCTGCTACTCCATTTTGTTGAGGTGTATGCGGACATGTAAATTCTCTCTTGATACCATTATCTCTACAAAAAGAGAGAAACTCCTTAGACATGAACTCCCCTCCATTATCCGTCCTTAAGGTCTTGATCTTCTGACCTAACTCCCCTTCCACGGTAACCTTGAATTCTAGAAACTTGGAGAATACTTCAGATTTTTCCTTCACAAAGTATACCCAAGTGTACCGTGAGAAGTCATCGACGAACAACAACATGTAGCGATACCCGGAATATGAGGGTGTTCTTGTTGGACCCATCAAGTCACTATGGACCCTTTCCAACGGAACACTGTACCTTGAAGTGGAATAGTCAAATGGAAGTCTATGAGACTTTCCATATTGACATCTTTCACAAAGTGTGCCTTCATCTTGGATCTTCAACTTTGGGAGCCCGTTAACCAAATCTTTATTTACCATAACCTTGAGCTTAGTCATATTTATATGACCAAGCCTAGCATGCCATATAAAAGCATTATTGTTGGTACTCATCTTCTCCACATAAGAGTTTGACGCCGATAAAACGTACAGATCTTTAACTCGTGCTCCAGTGTGAACCACGTCCGCCTTTAACTCTTGAATATTCTTTAAGAATTTAACATCTCTTGGGCCAAATAAGACATAGTTACCTGAGTCCACCGCATTTACCACGGAGAGAAGATTCTTTTTTACTCCAGGAACATGGTAAACGTTCTCGAGAGTGATTGGGCTTCCATCATCTCCTTTGATGACCACCGTTCCTTCCTTCTCAACGTGATGGATTGAATTATCCGCGGTAATGATTGCTTCTTTTCCTTCATGGCGTTGAAGACTAGAAAATAATTTCTCGTTTCCGGTAATATGATGGCTACAACCAGAATCTACGATCCAATTATTTTCCACCTTCTTAGGTGTAGATGTACTTGAAGATGCAGCCTCCATCGTAAAATATTTTCCCCATTCTTCGTCTTCATTATGACCTTTTGATTCTGCCATGTTTGTTTCCTTCAGCTTGACTCGGCAATCTTTTTTAAAATGCCCTAGTTTTCCACACCGATAGCACTTGAATTTTTTCTTATCTCCCTTAGAAGATCCTTCATGTCCATCATTATTTCTTGGACCACCATCATTGGATTTGGCTTTAAAGTTTTGTTGCCTCCTAGCTACAAAAGCGCTTCCCGAGTCATCATGAATTTTGACTCCCGCCATTTGTACCGCTAGTGATTCTTGCGAAGCAAGCAAATTTTCAAACTCCTCCAAGGAAGGTTGTGTAGCCCATCCTTGAACCGAAGTCACAAACGGTGTATACTCGGGTCGTAGACCTCGAATAATAAACCGTTTCAACCGAGCATCCGAGATTGATTTCTCCGGATTAAGACTATTGATCTCAGAGCAAAGGTTCTTTACCTTGATGAAAAACTCCGAGATTGAAGACTCCCCCTGCTTCACATTCGCCAACTCGTTTTCTAACAATTGTAGACGAGCTTCGTTTTTCTTGTTGAACAGTCGATCTAACGCTTGCCAAATTGAACTAGCGGATGTGCACCTTGAGACATGCTCAAATACTCCTGAGGATATTGACCTCTTTAAAGTAAATTCCGCCTTGGCATTTTTACGTGTCCACTCCTTTGTCGCTTCCGCGGTTGTAGCATCTCCGGTAGGTGGTGAAGTATTACTTCCGCCGACGACATCCCATAAGTCCTCACTAACCAAGTATGACTCCATACATGACTTCCATAACCGGTAGTTAGATTGGTTTAAGATCTCCATTCCCAATCCAACAACACGACCCATAGATTCCATACTTAGAGTAGATCCGAGTTCTCCTATAATCCCGATCTTGAAGAGCACAAGATTAGAATGGCTCTGATACCATGTAAAGAAACCGACTCGATAGTGCTTAGCACTAGCCCAAGACCGTAATACCCGAGAAACTCGATATAATCAAGATAAAAAACCCTCTAAGTATGATAGAAAATTTGGAAGAACAATTAGAGACTACTTGAAAGACTTTTGGAGAGACTTAGAGAACTTTTAAAGAGTGTTCTTTTATTTGAACTTTCTTTTTATTCACTTGTTCAACTTCCTCACATAATTACAAATGATGGGGGTGAGGAGGTATTTATAGCCTCCAAGGTTAGCTTACAAAGTCTCTAGATTATTCTACCATCATCTCTATAACTCTACTAAAATATCTAGATTTTATCTTACAAACTTCTAGATTATTCTACATAATTATCTAAATATCTATCTAATAAAATTCTCTAGAACATTTAAGGAGGTGATGATTTTTCTATGATGCTCTAGAGAAATCTAGAACTTAGGCTTAACTTTGGGTTTTATCCAATATAGAATATTGAATTATAAACCCATAATTAAGCTTAAACCAAAATCAAGTTTAACTTCAATAGAAAGAGGAAGAACACTGAAGTGCTGAGATTTTATAAGGGTAAGGAGATGACGTACCTCTGATATAAATTGCGATTGCGTTTACATGTTTTCCTAATTTATTACATTCAAATGTAAATGGAAGAAATAAATTTTAATCAATTTCCTTTTTTTTGCATATTGTTTTGATTTCTTTCTTTTTTTTGCTATAGACGTATATTGGGTTGAAACCGGAGAACTTTTGACTTGAATCACCAAATGCCCAACATATGAGCTATATATCCAACTCCAATCTAGGTTAAATTTTTTATGTTTCAAATAGAGTCAAATAAAATTTAATAGATTTGCCAGATCTAGTTGAGGATTATTCAAGTTTCAAACACATGAAACACAAATTAAATTTAAAAAAAAAACAAATTAAACTACAACAATGTTTTGTTACAACAAAAATTACAACAATATTCTTATTCCGTGAATTACAACAATATTTTTATTCCATGAACTACCGTTTTCTCCACAACACATCAATAACAAGTTTTATTTTTCAAACGACTGGGGAATATTATTAAATAATTTATTCGACTGCAAATGAGTTTTTGAACGTTCTTCATCTCTTATCGTGGTCATAGTTCATCTTTTTTAGTACCGCAGTCCCTGGAACACATGATCTATGTTTTGTCCCCATTCTCCATTGTACAACTTCAAGAGTACCGCAGTCCCTGGAACACATGATCTATGTTTTGTCCCCATTCTCCATTGTACAACTTCAAGAGCTTCTCTGCAGGCGTAACCCCTATTTTAACAAGACATTTAGCTTCTTTTTCAGTTAACTGGGAAAACAAACATTACATGTATTTAATCTTTTCAAGAAAATTGAAATTTCTTATTAACTGGGACAAAAAAAACATTACCTGTTTTAACCACCTCGGTGACAGCGTTCAAGAAACCGGTTTCATTGTAGCCTCTACGCTCCAAACCATCCTGAGCAATAAACAAATAACTTCAAGAAGTATATATTACATGATAAGGAGAAAACAGGCACACCTACCTTTGCAAGCTTTAGGAGATCTTCAGCAACATGTCTCAAAGGAATATCTCTAAACATTGTCTTTAGGCCAGTGATTGGAACCTTTCGAAACGCGATGAGAATTGGTTTTAAACAATAATATTTCGTTAAATAGTACTTTAAAATAAAGTATTTATTCTCTATTATAAGTTTACTTGAGTCCTAAGCATCTCTCTTTCTTCAGGAGTCCAATCATAGATCATATCGAGAACAGCTTGGAGAGAGTCCTCATCGTATAGCAAACCCACCTGACAGTCAAATATATAAGAAATAAACCCGCGAAACAAGATGAGTGTTTGAATCTTTGTCAAAGATAGTGTAATTACCCAAAAAGCTGGTAGGGCACATAACATCCCCAAGGGACCTCCATCAGCACCTCTCATCTCCAAGTATCTCTTTAACCGGACCTATTAGTGTTATTACAAAACATAATCATAAGAAAAAATAACTTTGAACCACAATAAGAGATAAGGAAGTTTAATGGTGTTGTTGAAACAGAGCAATCAACCTCTGGATATATTGTTCCTAAATGAATTTCCCAGTCGTTAATGGTTGGTTGTTCATCCGAGAGGTGAGAAATTTTCCCTGACATGAAATCCTGAAAAGTCAAGATATATGTTAAGATCATAATATAGCTCTAGAACATTTAAAAAGTTTAAAGTATATGATCTTTCTGATGAAGAAGAAGGAGCTAGACCCGAAATGTCATTCCTTTACAGTCGAGATAGCTTTCGTTTCGAATTAAGAACAACATTGGAAGATCAAGAGCGTATTCGACATACCGCTCAAACCTATATCAACACATTGAAGATTAACAATAAGTTTTAGGAAAAAGATTGATCACAGATTTAGAAGAAAAAAAAAAAATACTCACCCGAATGAGTCATCGAAAACAAAAGGTATCATCCCTGTGCGCTTCTTATCAGAATCTATATACATGTGACTGTCAAAGCATGCATGTCAATAGATGAGAAACTTATACTAAGAAAAGGAACGCGAGAATAAAATACTAACGAGTAATGTAGAAACCAACCTCCTCACGCTTAAAAACCCATTTGGTTTTCCATTACTAAAAGGGGAATTTGCGAATATAGCAGTCGCGACCTGTTTGATTTAAATATAACAAAAGAGTAAGATAAATGTTTGCTTGAGTATAAGAACCACTAGGATTAAAATATCATCAAGCATCTCACAGGTTGCAAAGCTAGACTAGCGCGAAACTTCCTGATCATATCGGTTTCTGAGCTATAGTCTAGATTGACCTGAACAGTACACGTTCTGAAAAACACGTCAGGTCCCGTTGTGCTAGCTCTGGTTAAGTGGTCTGTTATAAAGTGAAACCTTCCCTGCTCATGAAATATATGTTGGCTCGTTAAAAAGATAGCCCACAAGTGATATGAAAACTTATATAGATATATATACGAGGAAGGAACCTTGGGCACAATAGTTACATCCTCGAGACTAGATTTGGGTTCATAGCCAATTCCTAAGAAACCAATTTCCAATTCTTCAGCAACAGTTTTCACCTCGTGAAGATGTGAACGGATCTCATCACAAGTTTGGTGCAACGTCTCTAGAGGTGCTCCACTTAGCTCTAGTTGGCCTCCTGGTTCTAGTGAAATACTTCGCATTCCCTGAGTCATAATAATCAATTCTAAGCAAAATTTATGAAATTTTGTTATCATTGGGTATTTAAAGAAAAGAGAAGAGAGTACTCTACTTGTTTTAGACCAATGATTCTTTCTTTCTCCATCACCTTATCCCAACCATATCTCTCAGCAATACCATTAAGCAATGCAGTAATTTGTTCATATTTAATAGGGCGCAAAGTCTTGACCTCAAAACCGAATTTCTCATGTTCTGTACCTATTCTGAATACACAATCAAAGAGATAAAACAATGCAAAAATGAGTTCAAACAAATAAGAGTAGTTTGATAGAGCAAGAGAGGAAATGATGATCATACTGGTACCTCCACATTTCCTTTGGTTTGCATCCAGAAGCAAAATAGGCAATCAGATCTTCTTTGGTCAGTGGCTTGGTCGCGACTACAGATGAAGCGCTTGAGGTTGGCATATTCACTTGATTGCCTGCAACTACCTTGCTTCTTTTACAAGTAAGAGATTGCTTGGGTGAGAAGCTAACATAAGCACCCGAGTTTATCACAGCAACAATCCCAGAAGAAGAGAGTAAGAGAGCCATGGTTTAGTTCAAATGAATTAAGTCAAACCAAAGGTAAATGTAGAAACTATTCTATAACCCATACATATACATTAGTCATATTATCAGTACTTCGAATGAATTAAGTACCACTATAACAAGACAAGTTACCAATTAGAGACGAAATTTTGCTGACTAAACATTTCTTTTTCTTTGCGAGATTTTTGAGAGAATGTCATGAGAATTTTGGAGATTAATCTTTCAACTGCAGCTAAATAGTCCGTAAATAATCTGTCTTATATTAATAAGTTTTTTAAAAAACATTTAAGTAAGATATAGCAACGGATCTCAAAATTATGTAATGTTGAAATGTAAAATATAAGGAAAAAACCTATATCCAACATATATTTTGAAATCTAAATTATTGTGAAATCAGCAAAAATGATTAGGAAGCAACAACAAGAAAACATAAATGAAGAACTAAGAAGACGAAGAAGATCACCTCAAGTTGTCTAATTTAGGTCTGAAGAAGAAGAGGAGCTAGAGCACCAAGGCTTGCAGGGTTAGTAGTAACTAGTGGTGGTTGTGTAGCAGTACTACTACCCATGTGCACATATATATATATATATATATATATATATATATGCTGTGTGTTCATCGTTAAAAAAGACACCATTATTGTTGACTGGCAGTATTAATGTACTTTCATACACAATCTACTATACGTATTATGAAAAAGTATAAATTTATTAATTTGCAATCCAATCAGTTTGATGTAGTGACCTTAAGTACCGAAGACCTTCTGTTTCTGTTTCAATTTAACGTCCAGATTCAAGATTTGTAAAGTCGAGCAATATATATACATTTAACAAGCATCTAACTTGGATATACTCTCTTTGTTCTGTTTCTTATTAATCTATTTTCTAGGGGAAAAAATTGTTTTAAGAAAATAGATTTTTAGATTTTCTATACAATGTTTATCAGTTATTATTGATGAATTGTAAACTTCAAGAAAATACTTGAATACTATTGGTTTAGAGTTATACAAGTTCCTCTATTTAAGTAAGAAACAAATGAAAAGATTCACCCCATAAATACATGATATAATTTTTTTTCTTCCAACTTTTAATTTTCTTTTCTTCTCTTTTTTTTTCTTCCTATTTTTTATAACTACTTCCAGTGACACTTTAAATACATCATTTAGAAACATGAGAAGTATATAAGAACTTTAAATGATTCTCGTTGACATCCTATACTAATATTTGGGAAGTACATCCTAAGAGTCATAACTTATATTTTGTAAGAAATTACAATATATGCCATTATATAATTCTAATCATAAAATTTATTCCATGTCAATAATATATATAAACGGGTCAACGGGTCAACAGGTTTAAAGATATTAAAAGATTTTGTTTATATAATACATATAATTCTGAAAAAAATTTCTTCAAACGATTACACAATTAATATAATTTGAAAATATTATATACTAATCAATTCGAAAATGTAACACAATTAGTAAAAATGTTATATACTAATATATTATTCGAAAATGTGATCGAAAATGTTATTGAAAATATTATATAGTAATTCATTATTCGAACATGTTATCAAAAATGTTAATGAAAGTGATATATCATTGAAAATTGTATATTTTGTTTGAGAAGTGTAAGAAATTACATTATATCTACATATACATTTTTAGAGGGGATTTTGGTTTTTAATTCAAATGGATCGGGTTTTGATCCGGTTTTAATTTGTTCGAATCCTGGATAAGAGATCGAAGGAAGTTTGTAATCTTTAATTACCCATTTAACTCTCTTTCCTTAATTTATTCCCACATTAATCGGCATGTCATTAGCATTTATTATTTAAATTTGCAAAACTAAATAAAGATATTAAGCAAACTAAATCTCGAGTATGTTGCTATATTCGAGTGTATATTCTCGATTTAACGTTTTCAATTCTACCTAATTCCAACTAATCTTTCAACTAATTAATCACCACCTTTATTTTCGGAGATTTTCTTTCTCCAGTATCTCAACAAAATCCATTTAAAGAAACAAAGTTATGACTCTTAAATATTAAAATCTCGGCATATTCCAAAATACTAACGAATCCAAAGATTTTTTCTCCAATTTGTTGCTACTTCGAATAATTTTTGCGTTAAGTGATAGGGATTAGTGACCTAATTTTGACCCTATAAATACTCTACACCTAAATGTGGATCTTTATCATCAAACAAAAAAAAAGTCACGATTTGCAAGAAAAACATTTAACACACCTTTTTCCTCTTCACATGGCTGCTACTTTTGAGTTTATGGTGAAAATAGATGTCGAATGGAGAGATTGTTGCAACGGTTTATCATCGAGCTTTAGGTGATGCTGTGTACGGGTAGGGAATTAGTGGCTGTGACGGCGACGGTGACGGTGAGATGTTGGTTCAACGGTGGGTAATAGAGCTTTAGCTTGGTGGTGTAGAACTCGGATCTCTTTGAAATTAGGTTTGGATCTGGACCATCGCAGATCCACTTTGCCGTTCAAACAGTCAGATCAAACCATCGAGAAAACTTGCCGAAGAAGATATTCTACAAATCCATGTCTTAGTGTATGTGTTGCTTGGTGTTGTTGCGATTATTAAACCGTGAAACTAAACCAAGCTAAACCAAGAGATGGCTTGTGTAATTGAAATCCAGAATCAAAACTTGGAATCGTGAGATGACTTGTGATGATGGTCACGTGTAGTGGTGATGGTTTGTGCGATTGTTTGTTTGGGTTTTGGAATTTGATTATTAAACCGGAATTGTGGACCTTGGGTTAAGGTCACGTGGTTGTAAAGTTGTTTCTTATTAATTGGGTTTGGTTTAGTCTCTAAATATTTAATCCTAATTAATTGTGGGATAGGTTACTGAATCGAAATCATGGGTTGAATCAGGGTGTTATTGAACATGTTTTTTTCAAATCTTTAATTCATAGTTGTAATCGAAAAAAGATCTCTGCTGAATCAGTAAGATAATCAGAGGGGATCGACTCTTTTTTTTCAAGTGAAAAAAAAGATTGACATTTTACCAAAAAAATAAAGAAAGCAAAAAACATTATCTATACCCTTTTTTATACTATATACAAATATAGTTATGTAATGTGTCTTCTTATTGATTGTCTTTCATTTTTCAAACTAACTTTTTTTATAATATTAATGATATTTTAACTCTATACAAATTAAAAATCTATATATTATGAGAACTATTTAAAGCAAACTTTTAAATTTATTCGAATTATATATTTTAAATAAATTATTATTAATAAAATTACAAAATGGTGTTTAATTTTACGGGACGAGGTTATATGGTGGGACGGATTTGAGTCGACATTAAAACGGGAAGGTATACCACGGGTGAAAAATCCTAGAATTAACAATTAAAATACAATCATACAATCATACAATCTTAAACACTAAATATATACACTGCAATTTTAAATATGTATTTGCTCAATAAAAAATTATAAACCCATTCTAATCTCATATATTCCTCACATATATATATTATGTAAACAAGAAAATAAATTCATATTTAAATACCCTATACATTAGTACGTAATGAACTATATAATTTTCTATATCTCTATATTTTCAAAAATGAAACCTAAAACATATTAATCCTACAATGTATAATATATATACGTTTAAAACAAACAAAATCATAGCATATATGTAAAAGAAAAGGCCTTAAAAATTAATTTTATATTTAATAAAAATATAAGTCTGCGGTATACTGCGGGTTAATATTTTTTAAACCGTTGAACCGTACAAAATATTAAAATCCGTGCTGTATAGCACGGGTCATGATCTAGTTTTATTATTATTTAGAATGTTTTGATTGATTAAATTGAATGGTGTGTCTTTTAAATACTTCTATGAACAACACCTATAATGGTTTTTCAGTCATCATAATTCTCTGTCTTCTCAATTAATATTATAGGATTGATTTTAAACGTATAGGTTACTTTTTAAATAGGATGGAAATGTGGGAAAAAAAAAACAAGGAACTTTTTCAACATTTTTTAAAATTTGTTACACTACTAGTAGTGACTCAAAATTACATCTCAATAAATAAATCTAAAAATTTTGTAGACGTGAATTACTATTTGTTATTACGTCCAACTTAAATGAACAACACCTATAATTCTAGGGATTATTGTCTAAAAAGCCATATTTGCTCAACCATTTTTTAAATTTGCTATTTTCTCAACATATTTTCAAATTTGCCATTTTTATAAACTAATCATTTGAGAATATTTTTTCATAAAACACATATTTTATAAGAAAAACTATATCCGAAAAAAAGTGGAACCTATAAACTCAAGCATCATGCGTAAATTAGTGTTTTTGTCTATTAGAAAATGACAATTTTGATAATTTTTTGACAAAATGGCAAAGTCTATAAAAGCCATCAAAATAAGTCATTTATTCGTAACTGATACATAATTCTATAGATTTATGTTCTTGGACAACGAGAATTTCACACGGACATGTAAACATTGATCTGACGTAAGTGAAGTAAGTGAATGAGGCGAGGAAAGTGGGAATATTCATTAGGTACGTACAACGTGTTATTACCTCTCACTTTCGTAGGGACATAGTTGGGTCTATTCATATCTGTCGGTAGCTTCGTGTCACTATCTTCGAGATAATCCCATTGCAATCACGTTGGGTATATGCGGAGTCTGGTAGATGTGTTAGTTACAGTTACACCGCATTAGAGAATTCACATCAACCAATTACATCGCAAGCACGACATTTTCCACCAGTAAATTAATCAATTATCTTTTTTAAGAAAATAATAGATAAAAAAAAACCTATGTCCTAAACAAATTTCATACTCATAATCCATAAAGAGCTACTAACCATTATCAAATAAAATTTGTTAATCCACTATTCTATTGAATTCCAATGTTATAGGCCAAAACTTGATAAGTAAAAGTTTTAAACCTTAACTACACGACACCACAAGTGTATGAAATTATTGATGAGTGTTTAAAGTTTCGATTGATTCTGTTTAAGCTAAGCTAAGCAAGAAAATGATTTTTTGTTTTTAGTGCATCTTTTTAGGGTTTACAAAGAAAAAAATGAAGATCTTATAACTTTATAATTAGCTCTTCTGTAGATAATAGTTTTAGAGGACATGTAAACGTTGGCGTAAACGTAAGTGAATGAAACGAGGAAAGTGAGTATATTAATTATGTGAGACAGTCTGTTGATTCTCGATCATGCTTCTCACTCTCAGTGTCGTATATGGACGACTTGGTAGGGTTTACATATTATCTTGTCGGCACCTACGTGTCACTATCTTCTTATTTGACGTAATTACCAATGGCCAGGATCATCGAGTTGCAATCAGTTTAGTTTAC